AAGCAAAGCAAAGCAAAGCAAAGCAAAGCAAAGCAAAGCAAAGCAAAACAAAACAACGTTTCTCTCTTACAAGATTCTTATGGGAGTCCTATTTGGGGAAGGTTAGAACCAATGAATTAATACTTAACTTCCCACAGAGAAGGCTCCAATTGCAGAATTTTCCTTGAGATTACATTCACCAAGTACTTCTTTCTGTGTCTCGAAGATCTTGGAAAAATGTGTTATAAATGTAAGCAGTATCATCTTGGGTTATGCTATGACGTCATGAGATCCTGCACACTGAAGCATAGACAGTCCTGTGCTGCTGAGAACTTTTACATACTCACAAAAAAAGGTAATGTAGGGAATAGAGTGATGGGCAGCTAACCATACCTTCCCTCCTAAATAATAGTGTTCTCTGTGCTTAGGATGAGTGGGGAAGTGGAGTTGATGAGGATGAGTGGTCTTGGACAGGGGTGGAAAGATGGTCCTTTCCCTAAGATAACACTGAGTGATGGAGGGGTTGATGTCTCTGCTCAGCTCTGGAATAAAAGCCCTTCTCTGGATTAGCAGTGAGTAGAGAAAGGTTATGATGGTTTGAAGATGAGCTATTACCAAGAATATAGAAGGAATGAATGGTCTTTAAAATTCTTTTTCTCTTTCACTCCCTCAGGGCAGAGCATGTATCATTATTCAAGACTGTCATGTATGACCAATTGTGAGGACATCAACTTCCTGAGTTATGAAAAGAGAATAGAACTCATCTGTTGCAAACACAGTAGCTATTGTAACCTCCCAATGGGACTCTAGTTCTGAGTTCTTATGGATTTGGCATCATTATTCAATTTACTACCCACTCCTTCCCCCCCCAAGTTTTCATTTGTTCTCCTCTCCTAACTAATAGTAAATGAGAAAGTCATTTAACAGTGAAAAGGGAAGTAGTCATCAGAGGAATTGGACTGGGAGATCAACCTCATTGCCAAGCAAATCTTTGTAAATTGTTTTTCTCATATCTGGCAGGGCACTTGGGTTGCCTACAGTGCTGCTAGTCATGAATAGGTCTAGAGTTAGTTAGCCCCTATATGAAAACATAAAGTCTTGTGTCAAAATGTTATCCCAACTTTGTAAGAGAAATCTCTGTGTATACTCTGACATGCTCTGTACCAATTGAATTGGGATTCTCTTTGGACTAGCTCTGAGACTTCCTGGCACAATATTTTCTCTCAAGGATTCTGAAGGTAGGAAGGAGATGACCCCTACTTTTCAATGTGCTGATGATCTGATACAAATATTTGCCTGATAGATTTCATGGGGGGGCATCTCTGGTGAGAAAAAGCTAAACAAACCGAGAGATTAAACAACAATACTTTCGAAACTTGCGGAAATTGTCATTGATTCAGAAACAGTTAAATGTGTGTGGATCTGATTTGTATTATCAAGGCTCTGGGTTGAACTAGGTGATTGGATTGGGGATTGAGGCCTTGTTCAAAATTGGCTACTCAACTCCTTCTGATGGGAATTCAGAAAAGGAAAATGGGTTTCTATTGTTGATAAAGGTAACCGAATATGTAGAGATAGCATGAGGTATCATGTTCTAGTTTCATTTTTGTTGCTTGGATAAAACATTCTAACCCAAACCAACTAAGGCCAGGAAAGGGTTTATCTGGCTTATACTTCTAGATCTTAGTCTCTCATGGAGGGAAGTCAGTACAGGAACTCAAGACAGGAGCCTGAAACCAGAGAGGAACAATGCTTGATAGCTTATCTGCAGGCCTATGCTTAGCAAGCTTTCTCATACAATACAAGACCACCTGTTTAGGAGTGGTAGTACCTGCAGTGGTCTGGGCTGTCTTATGTCAATAAGAATAATCAAGATTGTCTCCCAAAGACATGTCCACAAGGCAACCTGATCACAGCAATTTCTTAATTGATGGTACTAAGTTGACAAAGTTAACTAGGACATGGTGTTTGGGTAATACTGTGTGCCAGGGTAAGATCATGTTACGAGTAGCAGAAAGAATGAAAGACTAGAAGTTAACACCAGTAAGAGGAGAAATACGCAGACACTACATGGGTCAAGTACCAAGGAATAAACAAAAACAGAGTAGCAGACACTGGAGCATCACACATGGGGCCAGGATGAGCAGAGGGCAACCACGGTTCTCTGGTTAGGAAGCTGACTGCAATTCCTGGTCCTGGATTCTTATGAGCCTTCTCAACTGTATTATGCCACAATAAACTCTCCAATGAACCAATTGTCTACTTGAAGAATTAAATGAACTTTCTGTTCTTGTCTTGTGTCTCAGAATGCAATTTGTTGCCTTTTTTGGCAGGGGGGAGGAGAGGGAATTCCCAGTTTGGACTAGATAGCCAGGATAGACGAAAACACAAACCCCAAACCAAATCAAACCAACCAAATAAACAACCCCCAAAACCAAGCCAAAACCCCAAAACTAAACCAAACCACACGAAACTAACCCAAAATCCATGGAGACAGTTTTTCAGAATAGACAAGCAGTCTGGAAAAGCCAGTGGAATATGGGAGTTTGAATTTGTGTCCTGGGATTTTGATGTACCTGGACACATGAGGATAGTAGAGGTCGGTGTAGGAAAAAAGTATTATTTAGCACTGAGTTTCAAAAACACCTTTACAAAGATCACGAACCAATGATTAACAAAGCCAAATTTGAATTTTGTTGAACATGAAGAGTTGTAATTAATTAGAAACTTGTTCTGTGCTCCCTGAGTAGACAGCAGGAGTAGGAGCCATACAGCACTGGGTTTTATGCAGACATGGGTGTTTTTGATGCCTGCACAGACTGTCCTGGTCAGTGCTCAGTTGCGTGGATCTTTGACTTTTGAAAGCTCTGTTTCTTACTTATCTATAGATTTTCTCTCTGCTTAACAGGATTTGCTTTGTCCACTTGCTAAACTCTCAGCTTGGCTGTAGTCATCAACTGATGCGTGTATGGACTCTTGGACCAAGGTGTGGATCAGTCTGTGGTATAATTTGTGCCCAGCACCTTTTATAATGGGGCAAGTCTAAAGTCAGTCTGTAACCGAGACCATTAACATTTTTCTTCCTCACTTCTTTCCTTCATTTTTTCCTAAGTTTTGGAGGGTGTGGTATGATGCTGGGAATCAAACCCACAGCCTCATGATGGCTAAGCAAGTATGTGACCACTGAGCTAACTACCAACCCTTATTCTCTAAGTTTTAAGAGGAAACAACCCCACTATTGGGAATGGAGCTCTCAAACAAGTTGAGTCAGGTTGGAAAATGAAGTTGTGCTTTGTTTCTATTGAGTGAGAGAGGGAACAGGGTCTGAATGCATAACTCATGAAAGAGGAGACTCTGATCTAGGACTCTCCACAACCTGGATGAAATTGTCCTAACCCTTGAGGAAATTTTCTTTCATTTCACCCATCATGGGACATTCTCCCCAGTTCTAGTGTGCAATCTGGGCAAAATAACAAGGCAAAACCTGGCTGAAAATTTCTTTCCCCAAACGATGCCACCTGAGTGTCTATTTTACCTGACACTCCTCCTTCATGCGGTAGTTACATAGGGATTATTTTACAGATATCTTCTTAAGAGCTGTACTTGGGCCAGTAACCTGTGCATCTGGAATTGACCAACAAATAATTCACTCAGCTCCATAATTAATCCAAAATGAATTTCACATGTATTAAAGTTATCATTGTGAAAAAAATCAAATAAACTTTGATTTCAAAAAATGTGTTGTGTCTATCATCATTTAATATTTGCTAAACAAATTCTATATACCTTAATATATGTATAGCTGTATAATCTCACATGCTTTTCACAGTTTCTATAATCTAGGCAAACTGATAGATAAGAAATCTGATAGCAGGCTAATGAAATAAGTAGACAAATATCAGAAAATTACATTTTCCAGTCCTGACTATTATTTCACTGTGATCAAGCAAGTCCTTGACTGAAGTAATGTGTCACTTTGTCTCTCAGTTTCAGGTCCACAGTGAATGGTATGGGCTCATGTGACAGGAAACTTCAATCTGAACTATTTACATATGGGAAGGTCAGGGAACAGAGGCTGCCCAGGAGCAGGAATGAGCTACTGACCCTCAAAGCTGTGAGTGGCAGCCTAGGCCCTATACACCAGTTCCCAAAGTCTCTCCAAACATGGCCACCAGCCTGGAACCAAACATTCAAACATCTGAGCCTGTGAGGGACATTTCATGTTGAAACCATAGCACAGTGCTTTGTAATACATTGTTGCGCACACACTGTGTTCACTGGAACTGTGGTTAGAATTTTGTAGATAAACACTGGGGCTTATCTCTTCTCCTTGATGACCAAGGTCTCAGAGGAAGACCAAAGACAAAAGAAAACCAGAAACTGGAGATTGTATCCTGATTTTTGCTCCAGCCTTGGGGGTCATGTTTGCAGCACTACACTGATTCCCTGCCTCCACTAGAGGGTAGGAAGGTCTAGAAAAGCTTGTGATATGGGAGGTATGCTAACAACAATTTTTGGAAAATACAGTCTACTACAAATAGTTAAAGGTGGAGCTAAGTTTAATCCAAGATCTGTAGAATCCATTCTCATTCTGTCTTCACTATTAGATACCAGTATTTTTAAGGTGTCTACATATCTAATGGTTGAGGAAAGCTTTTCTAACTAAGTTATCAGTTAAAAAGATTTATAGATTTAAGATCAAATCAGTCAAAATCCCAGCATGGGTGGGTCAGAAGCTCAAGATACCCCACCAGAGTCTGAGGGGCTATTGCCTATTGATAGCTGCTTGGGGAGTGTTTGTCAGTTTTCTTTAGGCATACAGGTCCTGAAAGGTGATCCATGACCTAGTAGATGATCCCATACCCACGAACATTCAGGTAGCACTAAATAGCTTCAGAGGGTGTTAATGAAAAGAGAGAGCACACGAAGTTAGGGGAGAAAGTATTGGGGGATAAGGGTAGGTGAAGGAATGGAGAGGATTTAATCTAAATACATCATATACATGTATGAATATGAAAATATATTTAAAATAACAAAATTAGGATATGCATATATATTTAATATAGATTCACATATATATCAATATATAATATATAACATCAATATATATATTCATATATATATGAATCTCACATTCAGAAGCTTAATTTGTGGAAAAAATTAGAGAGGGAAAATAAATGCAAAGATGACAAGCTATATAGACATATTTTAATATAAAAAAGGCGTAAGGAAGCTGGATTTGGGGCTGGAGAGATGGCTCTGCTCTCCCAGAGGTCCTGAGTTTATTCTCAGCAACAATATGGTGAGAGTTATTGTTCTCTTCTGGTGTGCAGACATACATGTGAGCAGAATATTGCACACATAATAAATAAATAAGTAAATAAATAAATCTTTTAAAAAGCTGGATTTGGGCATCCATGTGTGTACACATGTTTGACTATATGTATATATTCATTCTATCAGTTCTGATCCTTTAGTGAATCCTGATTTTATCATAGTAATAAGGTAGACACCTTAAAGAAAAGTCATACTGGGGTGACTCAGAGTCCCTAAAATGTAATCTATAGCTACTAGTGGTGAGCGATGGGCAAATGAGGGATGTCTTGACTCATAATATTTCTCTGTAGCTTCACATTAAAAATCTAGTATGGATGATGCCAATTTTCTCATCCAAGGTATCAAAGTAGTTAAGTCTTGGTGAAGCGTGGGAGACAGACAAGAGCAGAATTTAAATGGCTTTTCTCTAATGCCACAGGCTATGCCTGCTTCCACTTCTTCAGGCAATATGCATATGACCTTAGAACAGAAAGTTTCTGGGTAATACATAAATAAGATAAAACATCCAGGCTGGAGTGGTGACTCACCCATAATTTCAACACTCTGGAGGCTGGGGCAGGATGATCAAAAGCCCAAGGCCAGGCTAGGCTACATAGAGAGACCCTGCCTCAAAGGGAATGGGTAAGCAAAGAAAGGAAAACATACAAGTATCTTGCTAACACTGAGTGTAGGTACACAGGTCTTTCCTCCGTTTCTTCGTGGCGATTCGCAGGGCCGTTTGACCTTTGGCTCCCTGGATATTCTGCACTAGCACTGGCTTGAGGGTATAGTTTAGAAAGAACTTGGCTCTCTTTTGTTATGGTAATTCCACCTGTAAAGAAGGTTCCAGCTGCAGGCCCTATATGCCTGCCCCGCCAGGCTCCCCGAGCTGATTTTGCCTGAGGCGCAGGGCACCTGTCATCTCTACCACTGCTCCTGATGGGAGGGGGCTGTGCCCTTTTGAACCCTCTTGCCTACTGGTATAAATACCCGACTTGAGTTTAATAAAGTAGCCATTTACTCTTTGGTAAGTGAGCAGGTCTCCTTGTATCTGTCTGTTTAAACCCTTAGGACAGTCGTC